ACACACCACACCTCTCCAACCCAGCTCCCATCATTGTTCCAAATGGGTCGCAAGCAAAGAAAGGCCACCACCTAGCTGCCAGAAATGGCAGAATCAAGGACCCAGAAGGTAGACCCAGCTGAAAGATGCAGGGCTGTTTCGCCTCATCAGAGCACTGCAGGGAAGATCTCCAAATCCCACCCCCCATCAATCAGCCTACTTATCCTATAGCCTATCTCTGGCTCCCTAAAGGGCCAGCCTGCTTGTTAACTGCCATGCTGGGCTGGGCAGCTAACAAGCAGGAGAGTCCCCTCCTCTGCATGCCCCACTTCCCACACCACCCTGAGGAAGGGAGACCAAGGCCATAGCCAGCTACAGCTTCCAGGAAAGATTCCAAATAGAGCCAGCCTGAGCCCTGACTCCTGAGGAAGTATCCTTTGTTCTTTTGGGAGCACAGAGCAGCATCTAGTGGCCCTTCTGGGCAGCACAGATTACATAACTAGCACACAGCAGGGCAAGAGAGCCTCTGCTTCCAGTGTCAGTAGAGCCTCATTAACAGGTTAAGTCAGCCCTGGCACCAGAAGGCTAGAGCCCAGAGGGAGCCCAGGTGAAGGAGCCTGGGCCCAGGCCAGCCCGTGGCCAACTGGGCAGTTGTGCCTAGACTCAGCTCACAAGAGGCCAAGGAGGGGGGGGTTTGCGGGGGGGGGGGCAGAGGCACAACTGCTGTTCCTGGAGGTCTAGAGCAGCACTGTCCAAGAGAAAACAGAATGAGCCACATGGATAATTTAATAATTTCTAGTAGCCACATTTAAAAAGTAAAAACAAGTGAATTTTAATAATATATTTTATTTAACCCGATATACCCAAAATATTTCATCACATTTATAAAAAAGTTATTGAGATATTTTACATTCTTTTTGCACACTAAGCCTTAGAAGTCTGGTTTGTGTTTATACTCGCAGTGCGTCACAGTTCCAACTAGCCTCGTTGCCAGGGCTCAGCCATAGGTGGCCAGCGGCTACACATTGGACAGCACAGGTCTAGGAGGCATCGAACAAGACCCGCAAAGGGAGGAAAGGGCTCTGCTCCAGCTGTGGGTCTCTTTGGAGTACCTTTTAAAAGGCCTTCATAAAAGCAAAACTCTTTCCACAAGGAGACTACAGAGAGATACCACACTAGAACTGAATGACTGAACTGCTTAGACTGAAGAAGGGTTGGGGGCCACTTGGAAGATTCACTCCTGGGGTCTGAAATCACTACTTTTGAAGATTACAAAAGGAAACTAAACCACAAGTGAATGTCAGGACTCCAGACACTCGTATTTGCTTCACTTCAGATGACCCTCCACACCACAATCACCTACCAAGGAAGAAGCATCCTCACCAAGTAGATGAGGACACAGGCTCAGAGGATCTTACCACCCAAACCTTCATGAGCTCATTGGACTATGTTGCCTTGGGAAAAGAGATACCTAAATGCCATTTCCAATTTCAGACCTCACAGACCAACTTTCTTGCCCAAAGCCCACCAAGTTTAGAACACAAATTTAGCTAAGGAACTCCCCTTAATCAAATGAGATAACAGCTTTGGCCAGATTAGAGGGCTAGGCTATTGCTGGGCTACACAGAGCTGTTTAGGCTTGCTCAGAAGCCGTCCAGCACTCAAGAAAAGACACCTTTTGAAAAAAAAATTATTTTTATTGGAACTCATCTGAACATCAGATATACCTGGTGTTGGTTAGCAAGAACCGTTTGTACATTTGATATTGATGGTGCCAAACCAAAACAGTGACTGGACATGATAGGGACAGATGTTAAGAACAAAAACCTGATTTTGGAGAAGAAAATAAAAGCCAGTCAGATTCAATGAAGATGCAAAACCTGGTGCAACAAAATCCTTTTACAAAATATAAATTTATTACGAAAACCTGAAAGGATAATCTGAGAAAGATAAAGAAAAAGAAAAGGAGGCCAGCAGGAGGAGGCAGAAGGGAGAGGAAAAAAGACACATAGGAGATGAGAGAAGAAAATATCGTTAAGCACAACAAAGGTGCAGAAGCTTACCTGCCCAAATGGCATTAAAGCCTTGCTATGAAATCGCATCAGAAAACAAAGCATGCTGACATACAGTGCTCTACCTCCCATCTGTTCGAGTTCTAAGAGGTAAATAAAGCAGCTCCCTGGGAAGGGGACATGAGGTTGCTCAAAAACCCAACAAGGAAAAAAATTTTTTTAAAAAGAAAACCATACCCCACAGTCCCATTTCCCATGTTCACTGTTTAAAAGGAATAAATCCATCTGACAGCAGGAGAGGAGTGGGAGAGGGAGCAGCTGATGGATTTCAGACAGCCCAACTCCTCTGGAGAGGAGAGAGAGGAAGGACATGTGATGGTCTCCTGGTTGAGAGAGAGGAGGGAGAGAGACGGGAAGGGGAAGAATGGAAAGGAGAGGGGAAGGGCAATAAAAACACTGACATCTAATCTAGTTTACTGTGTTAAAAAAAAAAGCCACATGCATAGCAGGCCCCCTGGGGGCTAAGGGCCCACACTGCTCCCCGTGTGGCCGTAGTGGACACTAGCTCCGGGCCTTGTCCCCATTCCTTCACAGGTCAGAGTGGAGCTGTGGAGGTGCTGCTGCTGCTGCTGCTGCTGCTGCTCCTGCTGCTGCAGTGGCGGTGGCGGCGGCGGCGGGACCTTCAGCTAGTCTGCTGGAGCCAATGTCGGGGGGGAAGGAAGGGTGGACAGGCCGTATGGCAGGGGAAAGAACACCAAAATGCCTCATTTCAAATAAAAAAGAAAATAGCAGTCTATACACAGTTGTTTGTTTTGGTTCAGTACAAACAGAATAAAAAGTCATTGCTTTTGATGGTCAGCAAACACCCAATTCTGAAGAGCAGAGGTGACGCCCAGCAGGTGGATTAGGGCCCCCAGTGGTTGGCGGGGTGCCTGGCTTTGTGGCCCTCTCCCAAGAGGCAGAGAGCACAGCTTAGGTAGTGTAAGCCTTTTTCCTTTTATTTAGAATAATCTTTTTTTTTTCTTTTTCTTTTTTTTTTAAGCAATTTCCCCACTCCCAAGTTGGGCCAGTATAGATTACATGAAAACTGGCACACCTATTGGCTGGAATACAGATGCACCAAATGAGGATTTAAAAACGTTCTGAGCGAAAAGTAGAACAAAAAGAAAAAAAGAATCTCCTAGCATTTCCCCCAAGGTTTCACTCTCCCGCCACACACACTCTCCAAAGGACCGCTACAGATCCAACTCTGCAAGAGAAGACAGAGCAGTGTCAATCAGGAAGCCGTGAGGACACCAGGAGGAGGTTTTCAGTCTCAACAGGCAGAAGACAGTGCTGCCCGGCCCTGGGTCCCGGAGCCAGCACTCACCTATGTCAGTTTCTTGGCTTTATTGTAGAGGGAATCCACTACTTTGCTCATGTTCTGAATTGTTTCCAGAGCAGCTTCATAAGTTTTATCTACTGGGGGTTCATCGAAAATAATCAGGACACCCTCCCCCTGGTCCAAAATCCCTGCAGGAGACACAAGGGCAACCCAGGTAAAAGACAAGATTAGACACAAAAAGCATTTGTGAAGCAGCCCACTCCCTAGTTGCCTCACTTTCTCCAGAAAAGAAGGGAAACAGACCTTGGCTCCCTATCCATTTACACATGTTTATTACATATTCTGATTTCAAGGAAGCAGGATCAGGGTCCTAGGGAACCACCAGGGGAAACAAAGAGAACACCTCTCTTAAAGATAAACTTCTTCAACCATCTCATCACCACCAGTAGCCCCTTGCCTGTACAACTATTACTCACCATGAAATTTCTTGTCAAGGATCATCTGTGATAATTTCCTTTCCACGTCGCCCTAAAATCAAAGCACATAATTAAAGGGACCAGCATCCACTAGCCAGAGATCACCCTGACCAAAAAAATTTTACAAAAGGCAAACAGACTGAAAACAGTGACGATGCAACTCCAGCTCTGAGCCCACATTCCCCACAAAGAACCTTAGGAACTTCCAAAAAAGGCCTGTTAGGTACAAATGCCAGCCCCTCCACACCACCCTTTCCCATCCCTACCCGCTCCATGGCCTTGGGACTCCTTACCTTGGAGAGTTTGATGAGACTAGATATGTGTGCGATCTAAAAGAAAAGGCAGAGAGACACCAACACTGAAAGCTTTGCTTTTGCCTCCAATAGGAGAAGGGGGGAATGCGGGGAAAACTGTTTGCTGTATCTTATGAAATCCTACTGAATGTCTCTAGGAGGAAAGAATCTCCTTGGCCATGCTTAAGTCTCTTGTGCTCTGCCCATCTGCCTGCCCTTTATTGCTACAGAAAATAAGCACACTCCTGTCCCACACACTCAGTGACTACAAGAGGAGACTGCACTCACAACACATGCAATCTCACACACCTCTACCCCAAAAATCTCTCTCCTCAGTTCTTATTCATCCTATCAATAGAGGCCAAAGCTCTGAGTGGCCTGTTGCCCACCAGGCACACCCTAGAAAGGAAGTTCTGGACAGTAGAGGGAAGGGTGATGGCTATGGTGACGATGCCTAGCCACAAGCACTTAGAGCCCCAGGAGAGTTCTTACCTGTACTCGGGAAAAAGGCTCAATGACTCGAATCAGATTCTGTTCCAGTAAGTTATCATACAACTTGGCCAAGTGTGTGCTGATGATTGGGTCATCCCGGAGCTCTGCCCGGTAATCTGTCAGGGCCTGCCGAAAGAGCCAGTTACAAAGATTGGCAGAGAAAAGCACTTTGAAGTCAAGCTACCCCTAGCTTCCTAAGTAGTCTGCTGGCCCTTGTAACTACCATGGTTCAAGTTCTGGGATATCTGGGAAGATCAAAGAGAACCCATGACAGAAAGCAAAAGAAAAGAAACATTAAGAACTAAAAGGTGAAGGCCGGACATGGTGGCTCACGCCTGTAATCCTACCACTCTGGGAGGCCGAGGCGGGTGGACTGCCTGAGCTCTGGAGTTCAAGACCAGCCTGAGCAAAAGCGAGACCCCAGTCTCTAAAAATAACCAGGCATTGTGGCAGGTGCCTGCAGTCCCACCTACTCGGGAGGCTGAGTGAGAGAATCACTTGAGCCCAAGAGTTGAAGGTTGTTGTGAGCTATCACACCACAGCACTCTACCAAGGGTGACAAAGTGAGACTCTACAAACAAAAGCAAAAATAGAACTAAAAGGCGGGCCATCTTTCTCTCTGAAAGCCTCATGTCCACAGCTCAAACCATGCAAATCCCTAAGAGTAGCTCAGTATGTGAGCCAAAGTAACTACCCGAGCATTTCTCAGCAAGTTTGCCAGAGAACAAATAGGATCTCCAGGAAAAATAATAATACTGAGGTTAGGTAATGATAAATGCTGCATACCACAACTAGCTCTTGGAAGTTTTATTAGGATCAGTAGCATAGTACGGCTCTACAGTTAAAAGAAAACAAAACATTTCTAATTTTGTTTAGCCCTAGTATTTCCCAAACATAGGATCACAGAACCTTTCTTTCAAGGAATTACTTGAAATTGAACTGTCCCATCAAATATCCCAAACATTTGGATAAAATGATTTAGACTGATTATTCATGTGTATGGTTTACCTTTAGTCTTGGTCTCAGTATCTTAGCCTCAAGTTAGCTGTGCTTTAAGGTGTCAAAGGACACAAGCAAATCATGTCAAGTAAGGGATCACAGGAATTGGCAAGAACCCTCCAAGAAGATGATGAATCTTGAGGATAGTCAAGGACACATGGTCTAATCTCCATCCCCATTAAGTTCTCCTTTCTGGATCTAGGTTTCATCTTTGTTTTTCTTTCAGAGACAGGGTCTCACTCAGTTGTCCAGGCTAGAGTACAGTGGCGTGATCACAGCTCCCTGTAACTTCACATTCCTGGGCTTAAGCACTTCTTCAGCCTCAGCCTCCCGAGTAGCTGAGACTACAGGCATGTGCCACTGTGCCAGCTATACTTTTTAGTTTTTTTTTTTTAATTAAATTGGTAATTTTATTCAGAGTAACAGAGAAGTCCAGAACAGAATATATAAGTCTTACTCTAAGGCTTAGGCAAGTTCTCCTCTCATTTAGAAACTTCCCAAACAACAAGTAAAAGGCATAGGACTCAGAGAAATCCTAGAACACATCATCCTGTTGAAGTTTCTTTTGGCCAAAGGACTTATCTTTTGCCCACAGAGAAGAAGCAGACTTGGCATTTCTGGAGATGAAGTTATGAACACCTGTAACTATGCCATATGGAATAAGCACTAACCCTAGCGTCAAACCCTGATATGTAATTACTGTGTGACTTTGGGCATCCTCCTGAATCCTAGTGCCCTCAACCATAAATGAAGATAATAGATCTGTCGTGAAAAATCAAAGTAAAAAAAGAATGACATAGGTGGAGCCTGTGGTTCAAAGGAGTAAGGTACTGGCCCCATATGCCAGAGGTGGTAGGTTCAAACCCAGCCCCGGCCAAAAACTGCAAAAAAAAAAAATGACAAAAAGAACTGCAAAATATTACATATAAATTACATATAATTTACATCAATTCAGTAAGACTCACTGTACAAAAGTGCGTAACAATTTCTGGGTTTTGATATTGTACTGGGTAATTGGTACATAGGATCACTATATAATTTCTTCGGCAAATTCCTGTGAAACTATAATTTTAAAAAATTTAATGTCCCTCTCTTCCACCCATTCCCTACCAACCAATAACATGCTCACCTTTTCAAAATCTGCCAGTGATCTGTTCTTGCTAGCCTGAGCCACGCATTTTAATGCTTCTGTCTGAGAATAAAGAGACAAATTGTGAAAGTGATCTATTCTGTATACTGACATCCACCGAAAGTCTCATAAGCATTATGCTATGGCCATATAACCTCTGCTACAAGGAAGAACCCACCCCACCATCGTTCTTCTTCAGAGGCCTGGGAAGAAAAGCTAGAAATAGTGAATACCACTATGCCAACCAGTTTCCCTTTGAAACCTGAGATGACTTAAGAACACTAAGAAATAGAAGGTTTTTCCAAAAAGACAAGACCCTGATACAGCATTCTTCAGAGATGACAAGCTAAAAGGGAAAGTGACAAGAGAACTGTGAGTAGCTTTCCCCCTTCCCTACCTCCACATCCACCCAAACTCCTTCCTGCCTTTACACCTGATCATACCTGTGCTTTATCAAGATTCATTCTGCTAGGTTTGGTACAAACCATTGAACAAAACTTAGTTTCATTAGGCTTGAGGCATCAAAATTGAGGCACCAACATATTACATTGAATGTTAAAACTGCACCAAGAGATGAAGGTACAGTTGGTAGTTGAGAGCAACTTCTAACCTGGTTAGAAAAGGTGCCTGCTCAAGCTATCAGGTCTCCACAAGAAATTTGCAGTACTCATCTTTCTAGGAAACCAGCCTAACTCCTGCTTAAAAGCTATCATCAAGGTATAGGGACCAGAAGGAAGTCCTCTTCTATCAACCTAGGTACTTAAATAAGCACAGTGTCTTATATAGTGGACTAAATTCTACAAGGCTAATCATGACAATAGTTTGTCTCCAGCAGCTGTCCTAAAGAGAGAACAAATGCCAAAATGAGAAAAGCCTGAAACTTAGAGCTAGGTAAACCTAGTTCAAAGTCTGGCTCCACCATTTATTAGCTACCCAGCCTCATCCTAGCCACTGGACTTCTCTGAGCCTATCTCTACAACTCTATTACTAGTAAGAGTAGTATAATAGTAACCAATATTCTTGAGGTTAAAACTAGGAGCTGACCTGAAACTTTTGCTGATGAAATGCCAATTAAGGCCACTTGAAGAGAAGGAAGGAATCATCTGTTGTGGCCATTCCTCCAGAGATATAGTGAGATTATATAGAGAGCCAATCTGTCTGCTGTTTAGAGACAACTGCATTTGAAATCCAGAAAGATTACTTTTACTTTCGTGATAATTAAGCAAAGTACAAAAAGGGGATGGTCCAGATATCTAAGACATCATCTTTACACGCATCATAACTGTTCTCCTCAGTCACATTCAGACTTTCTTGGGCATTAGGTTAGCATAAAAAGTTCTCTTTTTTGCACCACACCCAAAATCAAGGCATGACTAGAGAAAGGTATTGATCGGAAGCACTCAGATTGAGACTCAAAACCTAGTTTCTGTACCAAGCAATCTGAGCTCACTATAGCACATATGCACCAGACCTTATCAGGCATCTGACTTGGAGAATCCAAGGTTCTATACTCTGCACATGTTAAATTCACAAGTCAGGTTCATGGGAGATAAATCATCTGGTCAAAGCTAAATGCACCCTAACTCACTGCAAATGCTATACAGTTCAGTTCTGTAAGTCCCTCAAACCACCCAATGTCCATATGAGCACCAAACACTGACTTTCCAGGCCAAGAATTTTACAATATAGGAAATACACTGAATGGGCTTAAGGGGAAAAAGGGAGTAGGTAAGAAAGAGAAAAGTAGAATGAAGCCCTAAAGAGCACCTGTCTCATCAAGCATCATGACTCTGACAACACCCAGGTCTCAAAGTGAACAGACTGCAGTCAAGGTATCCCTACCTGCCTCCCTGCATACCGAAGTGCAAGCTTCCCGCTCACCAAAGCCTGGACATCTTCTGGGCTAGAAAAAAAGACACACTTGGTCAATTGTTCCAGGATATTATGCTTCTAAGTAGAGGCTTAGGCCAATTTCTTTTTAACGAAATTCCACCATGAAGACTGTGCCCACAAAGGTGTCAGCCCCAACCCCTAAACCCACGTGCCCCTCACAGTACGGAAACTAGGTTTTCACATCTCTGGGCCAAAGTTCAGCACTGGAGAGTAGAAAAACTTCAAGCCAAACTGAACTTACCAAAATCAATAAACTCAACAAGCAGAATGGTAAGTATAAATTAAATCCTAGTATAACAGGTCTTATTAAAATATATCCCCTATGTAATCCAAAGATAGTCCTAGTCAATATTTCATCCCAAAAGAATGTAGATAATTCTGTAGAGTTTTCAGGAACAATCTGTCATATATTTTGTTGTCCACCTTTTCAAACCTGCCCTTAACCTTTCTTTCCCCATTTTGAGGGACCCAGTTGGCTGGCACTGGCTAATCTGTAATCTATTTCTTGACCCTCTGTCCTGTGCTCAGCATCTATGAGGACAGAATATTTCAAAGAGACAAGAATACTCCAAGAGGGGCTAGGAAGGGGATTTCTAAAATCTGACTCCTCTATTCTGAAAGACTAGCAAGCAAAAGGGTGCAGGAACACCTGCAATCCTCCCACTCTGCCTCAACCAGCCCCAGGGGCTGTGGCTGTTTCTTTAACTGGCTAAATTCCATGCCCAAGCCATCTCTGCCATGGCAGACAGACTTGGCTGAAGGATGTAAGTTCTAGTATTTCAGAGTTAATGTGCACCTACGTGTTGAGCATGATTTTGCACAGCAACATGTACTTCAGAGATGTAATGGCCTTGGGGCTATCAATGGAGTCATAACCTTCAAATGCCTCATAGAAGTATGAGTATGCAGTTTTCCAGTCCTTTTCCTCTGCTGCATGGATAATACCTGGGCATTAAAAAGAAAGGAATAAAAACCATATAAAACAATAGAACCATACAAGATCAGAACGGGGGGGGGGGGGTCTTGAAAATCTACCCCTACCATCAATTTATTGATGAGGTCAGGAAAGGAAAAAGGACCTCCTCAAAGTCACAGCCAGCTACTGGGAGCTGAGATTAGAATCCAGGTCTTTGGCCTCCTAGCTCAATATCATATTGACAATATAAGTTCTCAAAGGAGTTAGAGACTCAACTGGAAGGGGATCTTAGAAACCATATACTACATACCATCCTTCTACAATTCTCACCACCATTCCGTCCACGCTATCTTTTGGAGCCACTGGAAAAGGCCACATTTACCCTCTATGACATCACCATTATAGGTAAAGGAGTTGACCCCAACACTCCTAGAGTGTCTAAATGACCATTGTTTTTTTTTTTTTTTTTTTTTTTGAGACGGAGCCTCAAGCTATCCCCCTGGATAGAGTACCGTGGCATCACGCTCACAGCAACCTCCAACTCCTGGGCTTAAGCGAGTCTCCTGCCTCCGCCTCCCAAGTAGCTGGGACTACAGGCGCCCGCCACAACGCCTGGCCATTTTTTGGTTGCAGCCATCATTGTTTGGAAGGCCTGGGCTGGATTTGAACCTGCCACCTTAGGTGTATGTGGCTGGCGCCTTAGCCCCTTGAGCCACAGGCACCGAGCCATGAATGGCCGGTTTTAGTAACGACTTTAGGGTAAGAGCTTTTCTAAGCTTGACACTTTTACTTAAGCAGCTTTCCGGGGGTGTGGGGGGGGGGATCTAACCTCTCCTATTTTCATTTCAAATACTATAGAACCGCCATAGTTGACCACCTCCCTACATTAATCTCCTCCTCATTAAGTTGACCTAATTTTCTTTTCTTTTTTTTTTTTTTTTAGAGACAGAGTCTCACTTCATCACCCTCGGTAGAGTGCCATGGCATCATAGCTCACAGCAACCTCAGACTCCTGGGCTCAAGCAATTCTCTTACCTCAGCCTCCCAGGTAGCTGGCACTATAGGCGCCCACCCCAATACCGCCTATTTTTAGAGATGAGGTCTCACTCTGGCTCAAGCTGGTCTCGAATCTTTGAGCTCAGGCAATCCACCTGCTTCAGCTTCCCAGAGTGCTAGGATTACAGGCGTGAACCACTGCACCTAGCAGTTGACCTAATTTTCATAGACTGGACATGCACCACATTTACACATCAGTACAGCAGGCCTAGTTCCTTATGTTGACCACCTCCATATGTCAGTCTGTTACAGTCCCTTGGGTGGTCAACTTAAAGGCTTTACTTTATTTGTCATTTATGGATGTGCTCTTGCCTAAACGCAGTCAGTGCATAGATCTCACATAACAATGAATGAACTCTAGTACATAGCTAAGCACTATTTTTTAGGCTGATATGTTGAACTAACCAATCTTCTGCCATTTAAAGTTGAGTTGTCAATGAATTTAACTTTGAACTTGCAACGTATACTATCCAACCTACACTACCACTTGGGATAACAAAAATTCTTTCCAGCTTGAGAGGCATCTAGGACCTAAGATTCTATCTTTGTGTTAGAATCTTATGTTATCTTATCACAATTACATTGGCACTAATTGTGCCCAGCCTCATCCATTTGTTTAGCACAGTGCTTCCCATTTTTCACATCAAGACACATGTAGAATGGCCAGGCACGGAGGTTCATAACTGTAATCCTAGCACTCTGGGAGGCGGAAGTGAGTGGGTAGCCTGAGCTCAGGACTTCAAGACTAGCCTAAGAGCAAGACCCCATCTCTAAAAACAGAAAAACTAGCTGGGCATCATGGTGGGTACCTGCAGTCCCAGCTACTTGGGAGGCTAAAGCAAGAGGGTCACTTGAACCCAAGAGTTTCAGAGTGCTGTGAGCTAGGATTATGACACAGCACTTTACCCAGGGTGACAGAATGAGACTCTGTCTCAAAAAATGTAGAAAGTATTTAGCATACTGTAATAGAGTAAAAGGATGAAGCTGCTTATATACATGATTCCACAGAACCAATATTTTTAGTACGTATTTACCCCCCTGAAGCTTACCTATGGTGCATGGCATGCCAGCTGGGAACTTCTGACTTTCATTACTTATTGAGTGATATGTGCCATTCCCCAGCCCTTTTACTCTACCCAAAAGCCTCCTAATTTGGGCTGGAGGAATTAGATCCTTTTTCTCTTACTGCTCTTAAGTATAAAAGACTGGAGGAAAATCTGCCCCTCTCTGCAGTCAATGAGCTCCTTCGATAACACAACAAACTACTGATGCTGCTAAACTAAATGAGACATAAGTATGATTTAAAGGAGAAAAAAAAGCAAAATAAGGCCTAAGAACTGGTATGCTGTTTTCCCAAACACATTCACAAATAGGGTCTATATAAGCACTATGAAGTGTCAGGACTAGTATATGAGGTTTATTATTTTAAAAAACTAAAAAACAAAAAAACACTAACAACAACAACAAAAAATTAGACTGTCACTCACTCAACATAAACACTGATGACAGCCAACCACGTGCCAAGCACTGACACAGCTATTAAAGTACAAAGAAATACAAAGCCCTTAGGAGGCTTATGGTCTGGTGGAAAATCACCAAAATGGAGACAAAGAGATTAGCACAATAATATGTGCAAAGGAATATTTCATTGGTAGAGAAGTCCAAAAGCAGAGAAGCACAGAGGAGATTTTACAGAGGAAACATGTGAGTTGTATCTAGAAGGATGCATAGGAGTTTGCCATGGGGAGAGGTGAAAGGGGAATTCCAAGCAGAGAAGACAAAATAAACATAGAAAGGTACGGAAGGAGGAAATAGCTTGGAGTACACAGAGAATACAAAGTAATCTGATGACTAAGACTGAAAACCACAGATGAGGATGAAAAGCAAAGAATGCCTTCCTTTTGAATGTCATGTTAGGAGTAAAAATTAAGGTGAGGTAGGCGGCGCCTATGGTTCATTGCATACGACACCGGACCCATATACCGAGGGTGGCAGGTTCAAACCCGACCCAGCCAAACTGCAACAACAACAAAAAAATAGCCGGGCATTGTGGCAGGCGCCTGTAGTCCCAGCTACTCAGGAGACTGAGGCAAGAGAATCACCTAAGCCCAAGAGCTGGAGGTTGCTATGAGCTGTGATTCCACAGCACTCTACTGAAGGCGACAAAATGAAACTCTGTCTCTAAAAGAAAAAAAATTAAGGTGAGGTTAATGGGGAACCATTGGAGAGTTTTAAACAAAGGAGTTACATGATCAGGTTTGTATTTCAGAAAAATGACACTGAGACCAGTACAGATTGGGAAAGTGACTAGCAACAGTTAGATGAGTAAACGATGACTCTAGTAGTCCTTAATTAGACCAGTGGATTTTTGTAGAGATGAAAAAGAAAGAATAGATTTGGAGACAGACTCAACATGATCAGGTAAGTGGGTATGAGGGATGAGAGGAAAGAGTCAAAAATTACTCCAAAGACTATAATTTGATCAGCTAATTCAATAATGATACCATTAACTAAGAGGAAATGCAGAAAGGAATGAATTTGGTTTTTGATGTGTTTTGGGACTGAGCTACCTATGGGATATATATGTCCATTAAGCAGCTGGAAATCCAGATCTTGAATTTAAGAAAGGCTCGGTACCCATAGCACAGTGGTTACAGCTCCAGCCACATGCATCGAGGCTGGCGATTTGAACCCGGCCCAGGCCAGCTAAACAATGACAGATGCAACAAAAAAAATAGCCAGGCAGGGTGGTACCTGTGGCTCAAGGAGTAAGGTGCCAGCCCCATATATCAGAGGCAGTGGGTTCAAACCTGGCCCCGGCTAAAAAACATTTTGATTTTTGGCCGGGGCCAGGTTTGAACCCCCCGCAAGCCAGGCGTTGTGGTGGGCGCCTATAGTCCCAGCTACTTAGAAGGCTGAGGCAAGAGAACTGCTTAAAGCCCAAGAGTTGGAGGTTGCTGTGAGCTGTGATGGCACAGCACTCTACCAAGGGCAACATAGTGAGACTGTCTCAAAAAAAGAAAGAAGTTACTGAAGATCTAGATGAGGGGACCATTAGTATTATGTGGCAGCCTGAGCCATACAGAGCTCGGGATGAGGCCCAGCACCTATAGCTCAAGTGGCTAAGGCGCCAGCCACATACACCACAGCTGGCAGGTTCGAATCCAGCCAAGGCCTGCCAAACAACAACTACAACCAAAAAATAGCCAGGCGTTGTGGCAGGCACCTGTAATCCCAGCTACTTGGGAGGCTGAGGCAAGAGACTCGCTTGAGCCCAGGAGTTGGAGGTTGCTGTGAGCTGTGATGCCATAGCACTCTACCCAGGGTACAGCTTGAGGCTCCGTCTCAAAAAGAAAATGGGAGAGAACAGGAAGGGAAAAAACTAAGAAAGAACACTGAGGAACACCTACACTTCAGGGACAGTCAGAAGGAAAAGGAAACAGCAAAGTGTGGGGTGTGGCTGCTAATAATTAGTCAAGGGAGAACCAAGGAGACAATGTCAAGGAAGCCTAGGGTGTCTGGCAAGGTTGAGTTACCCACAAAGGTCAGAGATTTTGTTATTAATTTCTTTCAGGAGTCAGTAAAGGCAAAGTAAAGATACACTTTCAACTTTTTCAAGAAGCTTGACAGAAAGGGGAAGACGGTAATTTAAAAAATAAAAAGGGCTGTGGTTTTCAGCTGGGGCAGATCAAGAGAAAGAAGATCTGGGAGGAGAAAGACTAAAAACCAAGAATGCAACAAAAGACGGCTGGAAGATAGTGACACAAATTCTGTAGAGGAAAGAGAAGCGGGCTTGGTTAAAAATGGCTTCCATTTCCTCTCAGAAAATAGGATGCAAATTCATCTCTTGACCATAAAGACAGAGAAAAGATTTAATAGAGTAGTGGTTTAAACAAAAGCTACCAATTGGGTAAAGCTAACTACTGTGATAAAAGCTTTATATTCTTCATCTCATTTAATCCTCAGTACAATTATTATCGCCTTTTATAGATGAGCTAAAATTAAAGACAAATTAAGTAGCTTGCCCAGGTTCATACCCAGTCCAGGCTAAAAACTGGAAAAAAAAAAAAAAAAAAAACAACAATAACAAAAGTAGCTTGCCCAAAGTCACACACATGGAAATCACCTGAACAAAATGTTAACCTAGGAAAGCCTGATCCTAGGTCATAAGAGGCAAGTCAGGCAGGTATTATCTTTTACAGATGAGAAGAGTAATACGAGCTAGTCTTCTGTCTCCAATTCCAACACTCCTTCAATAATGATGCCTCCAGTAAAAAAACCCTGCTGATTACCAAAAAAAGCATTCCACCTGCCTGCCAATTCATGGCCTCCTAACCCCAGCACTCACCCACTCCATCAGAAAGCTGAGTACGACATTCAGCTAAAAGTGAAATAGCTTTCCTAAGCCATGATCTGAGGCCCTTTGGGGAAGTCCAATAAACTTTACGAAGGTCTCCAAGAATCAACACAGTTGTGTTTAGCCAATCCTGCAGAGAAATGCTACTATTCTAAGTGGCTAAGAGGAATGTTAGGGAGTCTTTTAAGCCTAAGTGAGACCTGTCTAAGATTTGGCCCCAACAGGTTGCCAGTTCAAGCACTGACAAGCATGTTAGTGTATTTTAGGCAGTTAACAGGAAGGGAGCAGCTGGTTAGAAAGGCAGGTTTCAAGGCAGGACACAGTGGCTCACGCCTATAATCCTAGCACTTTGAGAGGTTGAGACAGGAATATTGCTTGATGCCAGAAGTTCAAGACCTGAGCAAAAACAAGATCCCATCTCTACAAAAAAAAAGAAAAAAAGAAAGAAAAATTAGCTGTGGGCAGCATCTGTGGTTCAGTGAGTAGGGCACCAGCCCCATATACCAAGGGTGGTGGGTTCAAACCCAGCCC